AGACTGGCCACAATCACAATTTTACGATTCGCACGAATTTTTGCAGCTGTAAAAAATATTTTTATTAATATTTAAGCTTAAAAATTATATTAATTTCATCGTTAATAGTTATCTTGATAATACTTTAACCAGGAAATACGAAAAAAAGTGTTTCTATGAAGTAATTTTAGTCAGCTGGCCAGGCTTTGGGACATCTGTCAACGTAACCTTAGTTTTAGTGTATCCTAATAACTGGCCAATGTTAATTGCGTGCAATTCATACGACTGGCCAGTTATTGGGACTTGAAGTTTCGGCCACAGGGACAAGTTTTTTCTATAGTGGCCAAGAATTTGGACATTCCATCATGTCCAATAATAAATAAAAGCTTTTTTTCTGTGTATGCAAAAAATTATTTTTTTTTTTGGCACAGTTAAAAATTGTGTTGTAACCATAAAATAATACCTATTAGGACTTGAAATTTTACTTTTTTTTATATTTATGGTGTACTTTAGAAATTGGTCTACTAAGATGGCCAACGTTTGGTACATTTACCTTAGAAGAAAAAAATTTAAAGTTGAATAAAAATTACTGTGGGGAAAAAATTATGATTGAATGAAACAATAAATTATTTACAAAATTATTAATTGCTTGGTGTGTGTGCTTTGATGGTGTAGTGTGAAGGGGAATGGCGGGGCGAGTCAAAACGGGGAGTGATGAGAGGATGTGTGCAGGAGACTAGCACGGTTGAAAGAGACTGGGTGAGGGGAAGTGTGTAGGGGACTGATGGTGAGGGTGACGGGGTAAGGGGGGAAATAAAATAAATTAGGAGGAAGAAACTTGCGGTAAGCGACTTCCGTTTCATGAAAATCTGTCGTTTTTAAAATTCCAGCCCCCCAAGCATACGACATAAAGAAGTTCGTTCTCAAAAACAAAAAAAAACTATACGTATATACCTACTTAATTATTTTACTAACTCTTTGTTATATATTAAAAAAAAAAAAAAAATGTCTAGAAGTAGTTTAAAAATACTTTATGATTGCCTCGAACTAGGCTCTATTGCTACAGACACCAACTCAGGTTCCTTCACAATCATTGCATGCTATCGACGCCCCAAACATCAATACAATATCACTATAGAAGCATGGTCGGAACTATCTGACATCGTAAAAAATTTAGACTTCTTCACTCTTGTTGGAGACTTTAACTCTTACCACCCTCTGTGGGGCAGCTCCAACAGCTGTATCAATGGAAATTTGATCTTCGATAACATTTATAACGACTATCTCTTTCTTTTAAACGATGGTAGTTCAACCCATTTTACCTTAAACAAACACGGTATTACTTACTCAAGTATAGATCTTTCCTTCGTATCTATGAATCTTGCATCCGCCTCGGAATAGCCTGTTCTGGATGATCCCTGGGGCAGTGACCATTACTCGATTGAAATTTTAATTAATGTTAAACCAGACTACATCCCTAAAACTGATCACAGATATAATCTGAAGAATCTAAACTGAGATAAACTTTATCTTGAATTGGAAGAAAACAATCATATTTTCTTTTCTCTTAATTACAATAATAGTGACGTTCTGCAGATATATAAAACCCTTACTGACTGCCTTCACAGTAGTATTCAAAAATCTCTTAACTACTGTTATAAAGAACCAAATAACTTCCAAAACCCTTTCCCACATAAGCCCAAAAGAGGAATTAAACAACCCATTTGGTGGAATGAAAGATGCAACAGAGTCATCAGAATCAGGAAAGCCAGTTTTAAATAAATACAATACAGGTGTGAATTAAACTTTTTCATAAATCATAAAAAGATTATTGCAGAAACAAAAAAAACTCTTAGAGAGAAAAAAAAGACTCCTTCAAAAAATTTTGTACTTGAATTAACAGCAAAACTAAAATCACAGATGTCTGGCACAAAGTGAAATGCTTTAAAAATGACTTTAACCACCCTTCCAAAACCTCGGGCAACAAAACTTTCCTGGAAGAAGCGGAAGACTGTCTTGACGCATTATGCACTCCTAAGCCTTTCACGAAACCTGTGGACTTCTCTACTTTTAAAGGTGACCAAGAAAACCCAGATCACATACTTTCCAAACCTCTTTCCTGCGAAGAATTCAATCTTGCTCTAAACTCTGCCAAATTAGATTCTTCCCCAGGTTACGACAGAATTACTATTTACAAGATTATTTCCTACCTACCAGAATCATACAAACAGGCACTCTTAGACATTTTTAATGATTCATACAATCAAAACATATTTCATAATGCCTGGCAAAACTACCTAATAAATATAATATATAACATATAATATAATCTCTTCCATTCCTAAACCAAATAACAAAGCCAGGCCCATTGCCATGGCCTCTTGTTTCTTAAAAATCTTTGAAAAGATAATCAGTAGCAGGTTCACCTGATATCTCGAATCAGAAAACATTTTAAGAGAATCTCAAAATGGATTTCGCAAAGGCAGGTCCTGTATGCATGACTTAACCAAACTCACTACGGATATCCAAAAAAGTTTCTATCAAAACAAAAACCTCGTTGCACTATTTATTGATTTCAAAGGTTCCTTTGATAACGTTTTACCAGATATTGTCATCCAAGATCTAATAGATTTACATCTTCCTAGAAACTTTATTCTCGTTGTCAAAAATTTAATATGTGACCGTTGTCTTATTCTAATGATTTTCAGCAAAACTAATTTCAACACTGAAAACCATTTTATCAAAATCAACAACCTAGAGCTTCTACCAGCAAGTAATGTCAAATTTTTGGGAGTGTATCTATACAAAAATCTCAATTGGCATATGTTCGCTATCAATGCTTGAGGGGCGGCGTTCTTGCGAAGATGATGCACTGAACGTTGAGGGGAGAAGGGCGGGTATCGTTATGCACAAAAACAAGACACTTAAATGCAGCAAGGTAGATTCGGATTAACTTTATTTTTCTTCTTGCATGCAGTCTTGTTACAGGAGTGATGGAGAAGCTCAGCGTGACAACGTCTGGCTCTCGCGCTTGATGTTCAACGCTGACTGGCCGCAACAACGCGAGGATCGGAGCACAGTCCACTCTCTCTCTAGCACGACGCATTTGCTTCAGGCACACTGCACGCGCGGAACACTCAGCTCGAGTAGCCTCTGATACACTCGCACATACGTGGCATCAAGTGCTTGATGTCATACATGCTCCCCGAGTTGATGTACAGAAGGCGAAACGAACGAACATTAAAATAACAAAAAAAATGAATGAAAATCTTAAGCAAACTCTCACAAGCAAGTTAGTAAATAATAGAATCAATTGAAAATAATAGTACGCATTACATAAAAATACCGTAGGGCGCTTCCACTTACAATCAGAAAAAACTATAGGTACAGTTGTAGCGCCGGAGAAGGGAGAAGGAAAACAAAGATAGTTCCCGTTTTTAGTCAGGTTCAAATGTACTCACTTTTGTCATTAATTAAACAATAAAACTAAATTCGAATTAATCAAAATCGCAAAAAAAAAACAAGACATAAAATAACGAAAGATGCTGAGGTAAAGCCGCAAGTACGATAATGGTACCTCTTAGTAACTAATTAAACCTATGTAGTGCCCTAGTTAATTGAGTATTCTGAGTTTTAACCCTTACGACTCACACCAGCGTTTTAGGTCCCTGAAAATGTGTTCGATTCTCGCAAGGGGCCACTTGCCGGGGGGAGTGGGCTCATCCTTAATCAAAACAAGATCTCCTATTTCTAACGACCTTCGGAGGGAAACCCACTTCTCTCGAGTTTGGAGGGAGTTTAGGTACTCCGCTGACCACCTGCGCCACTGGACAGCTTGGGACATTAGCTTCCACCGGTCCGGGGGTAATATATGTCTAGAAGTCAGGTCCAGCTCTGGTATCGAATAGGAGGGCTGAAACATCAAGAAGTGAGAAGGCGTAAGGGGACTCAGATCCGTGAGATCGTCAGTCAAGGGCGCCAGGGGTCTTGAATTCAAACACGAGTCAATCCGACACAACCATGTGGAGAATCCGATGAACGTGAGAATCTGTTCTCCGATGACTCTTTTTAGACGGAATTTCATCGATTTCACTGCAGCCTCCCACAGACCATCGAAGTGGGGGGCGGAAGGGGGGTTAAAGTGCCACTGTGTGCCCAGAACACAGAGAGCATCAGTGAAGGTCGCGTTCTTGTGCCGATCCTTTAACATTGCGTTTAGTTCTCAGTCGGCTCCCACAAAATTAATGCCCCGATCACTGTATAGATCAGTGCATTGACCTCGTCTAGATGTGAACCGTTGGCAAGCCGCAATAACGGAATCGGCAGTGTAATCTTCGACGACCTCCTGATGTACAGCTCTGATAGCCATGCAGACAAATACAGCAATGTTACCCTTGAGGGTGCCTCTCCCGCGATGCTTTGCCAGACGAATGGGAAAACGCCCGGCATAATCGACACCTGTCTTTTGGAATGCCGGTGAAGGAGTCACCTGGGCTCTCGGGAGATCAGCCATCAGCTGAGTCTGTGGTCAAGTAGCATATCGTTGACAGGTCAAGCAGTGAGCCAACATGGAGCTTACGATCTGTCGACCGTTTGTAATCCAGTACTTCCGACGAAGAGTGCTCAAGGTTAATTTTGTACCACTGTGAAGAGTAATGAGATGATATCGTTGAATAAGTAACGAGGTTAGAGTGTCTCTGCCAAACAAAATCAGAGGGTGTTTGGCGTCAGAATCGAGCAAGGCGTTGCTTAATCTGCCTCCAACTCGTAACAACCCGTCAGAAAGAAAGGGAGCTAGCTTTTGTAATCGGCTTGAGGCGGGAAGAAATTCTTGTTGACCAATCGGAATGTCGATGTTGCATTTAATAACTGCGATATCAGGCGCAAAATTGCGCTGTTGATGATCAAAAACTAAAAACAAGGAAGCGGTGTCTAACTCATCAGTTGTCAAGCTTGGTGAAGAAACCTGAATAAACGGATCACGACGATGTAATTCTAGATCTGTGGACTGTATAGTGAGTGGTGTGGATGACTTTCTCAGACTCTCGTGACACCGAAAGGCAAAACGCATGACGTAAGCCGCTGCTCGCAAAAGCCAAAGCCAACGTGAACAACGACCAAGAGGGATTTTAACAAAAGATTCAGGCCTTTCTTCCGAGCAATTTGATACTAGATTGAACGAGGGCAGTGGCTCAATAACTTTAACCTTGAGCTCAAGGTACTGAGGGTCAGTTTCATGTAAGATATCTGGACCGTGGAACCAGATCCGTTTGGCGACGAATTGACTGGGCATAATGCCTCGAGAGGCCAGATCAGCAGGGTTTTGTCTAGATGATGGCAGAGCGTTAAGCCAGTGAAGAACGTTCAGGGAGTCTGTCCACAAGTGGACAAGAGCTCCGTTACAATGGCAAGGGTCTGCAAAATGTTTTGACGATTTTTGCAAGCAGATGAGTAGCGCACAACTCAAGTCGAGGAATGCTCAATACCTTCAGGGGGGCAACTCGGGTCTTGGCTACTTGGAGCGACACGTGTATATCGCTACTGTTGAGGAGACGGGTGTAAACGACAGCGGCGTGGGCTGACTTATAGGCGTCGGCAAAGCCATGGATTTCCAGCTGAGCACCAGAAGAATGGTTCCATCGAAGGACTCTCACCTGATCAAGCTCAGGTATCTTATTCAGTCACTTCACCCAGGTTTCAACAACAGGGGCTGGAAGCAGCGTGTCCCACGCTATCTTAAGCAACCACAGTGACTGTAGCAACATTTTGGGAACTATGATAATCAGTGAAAACCAGCCCAAAGGATTGTAGTACCGAGCAGCTTGAGAGAACAAGCTTCGTTTGGTCCAAAACCTGGGGAGTTTATTGATCGTGAATTTGAATGCAAATTTATCGGATTTAGGATTCCAAGACAGTCCTAGGACAGATACAGACTCTCCGTTTGTCTCCAGGATCTTCGGTTGATCAACACGATGAGCTATAGGGATGCTCTCAAGAGCCTGTGGCAAATAAGAAGACCATTTGAGCAGAGAAAATCCACCAATCCGCGTCAGTTTACCGAGCTCCTCATATTTGACCAAGATTTCCTCCACTGAATGACCGCCTGACAAACAATCATCTACGTAGGTTTCCTCGCGTAGGATCTTTGAGGCCCGGGGATGAGATTCAGCATGCTCGAAGGCCAGTTGACGCAAGACGCGAGTTGCCAAGAAAGGGGAACACGCAAGACCATACGTGACTGTCGTCAGAAAGTATGTTCTAAGCTGAGAAGAGGTGTCAGGTCTCCAAAGGATTGCCTAAAAGGCTTGGTCGTCTTCGTGGACCGGGATTTGCCAAAACATCTTCTCTACATCGACGGTAAAGACGAATCTGTAAAAACGCCAATCGATGATCAACTCGAAAAGATTTAACATGAGATTTGGGCCGGTGTGGAGTTAGGAGTTCAAGGAAAATCCATTTCTGCTTTTGGCTGAGCCATTGAAGACGACTCTAAGCTTAGGTGAAGAGTACTTGGTCCTTAAGACCCCATGATGAGGAAGAAAGCACTTTGCCAATCTGAAGTCCAATACCTCATGCATGTGGCCGAGAGCTGTATATTCAGACATGAAGGACTTACAAAACTCAAGCAAGCAAGGATCGTTTCTGAATCTTTTTTCCTGTTGATGAAACATGGAGAGCGCAGTTTTGTATGAGCCCTCTCGAAGCGAAAGAGTGTCAACAGTTTTGCCCTTGAACGGAAGTTTGACCAAGAAACGGCCGTCAGGGGATCGAAAGTGCGTGAGATTGAAATGCTCCTCACAACGAAGATCGTCTCCCTTCAGTTCTGGCTTGGAGAGAGGTTCCTCGACCAGCCAAAATCGTTGCATAACTTCATCGAGATGAGGGCCCTTGGAATCGTGCATCACTGCGATTTCTTCAGGCGCGGTGATCAAGTGGCTCGCTTTCTTGAAGGAAGGGACACTCTCTAGTACGAAGGAAACAGGTCCTGATAATAACCATCTGATCCGAGAGGCTGAGGCGATGTGTTGATCGAGGGAGCCTCGTCGAATTGAATTTTGAATTATGTAGGCGTTAACAGAGGCTCCTAGCAGAACGTCTATTTTATCTAGGGACCGATAATCAGGGTCCGCAAGTTGTAGTTCCTGAATGTGTGGAATATTTACTAAACTTCTTGAAGTTGGAGGCTTATACAAAGAAATCTAAGGAACAATAAGGCCTCAGTGTTGCACTTGAAACATGAATCAAAATGTGGTCGAAAGTTTAGGTAAGTGCTTCTCGTAACATAAGTTGAGGGCGAATCCCCTACGCCAGCTAATGAGATGCTAACCCAGTGAGTCTTAAGTCTTAAGACATCGCAAAGAAAACGAGTCACCAGAGAACTTTGAGAACCCTGGTCAACAAGGGCTCTTACTAGAACCTGTGAACCGTTTGGGCCTCGAATGTAAATTCGAGCGGTAGCTAGAAGAATCTTGGGTCCTGAAGGTAAGTCCTTGCTACGCAATAAGCTGGCGTTAGCGCAGAAGCTTTGATCGGGTTGGAGTTCATGAGATTTTTCAGGACCACCGACAGGTTTATCAAAAGAGGTTGAGTCTTTCGTGAGACTTGACTTGGCCTCTTCCTTATGCAATAGAGTATGATGCTTTCGATGACAAACCGAACACGAGAACTTACTCTTTCACTGTTTTACAAAGTGTTGACCAAGGCAATTGAGACAAAGCTACCTGTCATTTACGAGCTGCCGTTTTTCGTTCAGAGGTTTACCTTGGAAGGTTTGACAGGAGGACAAACGATGGGGCTTGCCGCAGAGAAAGCAACTAATGGAGCCTGAATCGTTAGAAGTAGCGATTTGATGCGCGAATGAAGACTTTGGTATGAATTTTGACGTATCTTGGGACGTAGGCTTCCGTTTAACTGACTCTAACGTTTCCATCGTGATAATTTGGGTGGCGATGAACTCACGTAAACGAGCAATAGTAGGTGGCTCATCACTGCTACCTAGGTGCTTCTGCCACTCTCGGTTCATAGAGTTATTGAACCTAATGACCACAAGAGCGATGATGATGTCTTCGCACCAGTTATCTCTACCTAAAGCAACAAGAGAGTCAAGGGGGCCCAACATCTCTTTTGATAAGCGCTTCATTTCCAAGCAGGAGTTGGACTTCATGTTCTGACAATTGAGGACCGTGCTGGTATAGAAGGTAACCAGACGACGCTTATTGTCATAAAACTTGACAAGAACGTTCCAGGCTTGAGTGTAGTTATCACCCGAGAGGGGAATATTTTTTATCAAGTCGGCAGCATCTCCAGTGACATGAGTTCGCAGATGTTGGAACTTGATAACTGCCGGGAGCTCGGATTTAAGATGAACTAGAGCCTTCAAGACGTCATGGAAGCTCTCCCAACTCTCAAAGTCACCGCAAAATATCGGAAAATTGACAGAGGGCAAAGAGGACAAGCTATGCAAGGCAATGGCAGAAGTAGAGCCAGGATCATCGGTTGTCAGATCGGGTCCTAGTCGGGACGCATAGTCTTCAAAATCACCCGCAGTAAGCTTCCTCAATTGCGTCAATATAATTTTTTTTAATGTAGTCATGTTGACCAATATCTTCATCGAGACCCAGAATTTGATTGTGAATCGTCAAGGCCTGATCGTACGAATTCTTAACTACTTTGCTTCGAGTCATGCATTGACCCATGATCATTTTCGCTTCGCCTGGTTTTTTAAAATTGTTGGAAATGGAACAAACTCGTAGCACGAGATCGAATCAGGGGACACGCGCAAAGTGAAAAGCGATTAGCTTCGGTACTCAAATCACGCGAGTGTATTAACGCATATACACCTCGTAATAAAAAATCGGAGCACCAGCAGCCGAAGCCAGTCTTGGTGGTCCGACTAATACGGTGTAGGATTCGAGGGCGATTAGTATATATATGCTAATAAAACACTAACACAAACGTAAACACTGTAAATAACCTGAATGTCGATCTCTCGTGCACTTATGGAGCAGAAACACAGGTTTCAGAGAGGACTCGCAGCGTCAGTGATCAGCAGGCGTACGGCCCGCATCGGTAGCCAGCGATGATGCTCAAAGCGTAGCTAGTGGGTGACCCGCTGAAAAACAGGGACAACAACAGCAACTCTGGCGAGAAAGACGTGCGCGCGCAGCGGGGCTACAGCAGCAGCGTAAATGCAGTGCGTCGACAGACGACGATGCTCTAAAGCAGGCCAATCACCTGCGAACAGACAAAATGGCCGTCTACGAGTAGAGAACTCGCGAGGTTCGCCACGCTTCGGTGGCTGTAAATGACGGTGGAGCCAAGTGCGAGCTGTGGCTCGGCACCCTTGGCGGGATGATGGCTCGCGGAGGATCGCAGCAGCAATAGCGTGCGCGGTGACGACGACCCGCAGCACCGTGTAAAGGGCGGGAGCGGCGACGACGTCCGCAGCACCGACGTAGATTGGCCAAAGGCGAGTGGCAACCTTGGCGTGTGGCAGCCACGTGCGCCGGAGGCGCTGATGAAAATGGCCGACAGCAGAACAAGACGACACGATTTTTTCTTCCCCTTACATCCAGCTTGAAAGACCTTGTTCGCTATCAATGCCTGAGGGACGGCATTCTTGCGAAGATAATGCACTGAACGTTGAGGGGAGAAGGGCGGGTATCATTATGCACAAAAACAAGACACTCAAATGCAGCAAGGTAGATTCGGATTAACTTTATTTTTCTTTTTGCACGCAGTCTTATTACAGGAGTGATGAAGAAGCTCAGCGTGACAACGTCTGGCTCTCGCGCTTGATGTTCAACGCTGACTGGCTGCAACAACGCGAGGCTCTGAGCACAGTCCACTCTCTCTCTAGCGCGATGCATGGCTCAGCTCGAGTAGCCTCCGATACACTCACATATACGTGGCATCAAGTGCTTGATGTTATACAGCATAAACAAATTGACTATCTTGTCGCCAGGAGCCCCCTTCCTATAAGCATTGTAGGATGTTTAAGAAAAACGTGGTAGGGTGCTGACCCACTACTGCTAAAAAGACTGTATAAAGCAATGCTTAGACTTACCCTGGAATACTCTGACTTTCTAATATCTCTTAGTTCTTAATACTACTTCAAAAAAATTGAAACAGTCCAAAGCTTTAAAACTAGCCGTGGGACACAGGATAAGCACTCCAACTAACATCATTCTTTCAGAATCTAAGACACCTTATCTAACCATCAGATTCAAGTACCTAGCCTACACTTTTCTCCTAAACTGTCTTTCTTACAAAAACAACTTTATCATCAAGGACGTGAAAGAACTTTCACAATTATCCAACATCCCAACCCTCGATTTTCACTACAAAAAATCTCTCATACTAGAATGCTATGAGAATTGCTGGTTTTACGAAGATGCCATAATCCAATCAAACCTATACCCTAGTTTTTCCTATCCGTTTTTCTAAAATCTTTTCTCAATCAACAGCAATCTCGCAACCGGGAAATCGATACAATTGTCGAGCTCCCCTAAAGACGAATTTATCAATTCATGCCACACTGATTCAAACAATATTTTCTCCCTCTCCTAGCCGAAAGTACATACCTCCTGGTCGGTCTGCTAGGCAAGAAAGAGTCTCTTTTGTTTACAGTCAAGACACGACTTTTTTCGTTACGAGCCGAGACCAATTAATCTAAGTTTAGTGTCGCAGCAGTATTTTATGGAGTTGTGTGTTTACGAATTACGAGATAGTTAAGGATATCGTACAGTGATAAAATCAAAAAAAGTAACAAAAAAGTACAACGGCGATCCTCCGTAATTAATAAATAATAAACCATTATTTGTATTAAATAATGAAAAAATAAAAACTTGTTTTCGTAGTTTCATAAAATTTAGATGGTTATATTTTATTTTCTTTGTGATTTTGTGTCTATTCTTATGACTTCATTTTTTATTTTGTTAACTTGTGCATGTGCTTTTTGACGCCCGCCCCTGACCTGCAAGGCCTCGCCTTCGGCTCGGCCGTCGCAGGGTCAGCGGGCGTCAACACACACATGCACGGCAGTGCAGCAGCAAGCATAATCGAGCAACGAGCNGTAATACATAATAAACACTGGTTATATTTTAAATAGTACATAAAGGTGTGACTAAATCTAAGCCAAACAATCATCATTTACCTGCAAATATTAATTGTTGTCATTGCTCACGAGTACATAAGCCGAAGGAACAAACTTATCAAGACATGTGTATTCCCATAAATTAGTGATAAGATCAAGTAATTCATCACAGTACTTGCATGTAAAATGCTGAAAAATAAAAACAACTAATTAAAAACGTACTTTCAGCTAGGGGAGGGAGAAAAGTACTATACGATACTCGGCCGGACAGTTTGAGTCAGTGGCATGCGACTTATGACGGCCGAGGCGAAGCCGAGCCTCGGCCGTCATAACCTCGCAGCCATAAACTCCAACTTTCCGGCCTAGTGTCGTAATCTACTATTTCACTTACATCGACGGCTCTAAAATCTCTACGGAACACAACTCTTGCACTGGATTTCCCACTTGGTCAGAAAATAAAGACTTTATCTCAGCTTTTAAGCTACCTGACTTCACTTCAATGTTCTCTGCAGAATGTTTAGCTCTCATCCAAGTCTTCGAGCAAATAATTTCTTCGAACAAAAACCACTTTCAAATTTTTACAGACTCCCTCAGTGTTCTAACTTTCTTAAACAACATATTTGGACTCAAAGCTGAATCTCAACTTATAGTCCAGTTAAAAAAGCTCATATCATCAGTTACTTCTCTTAAGAAAGACTTCAAATTAAACTGGATACCTTCCCACTTGGGAATAGGTACGAGGCAATGATGATCTTTTGGCAAAAAATGCTGCACGTAATGGCACATTTATAAACTTGACAATTCCATTTACTGACCTCATACCTAAAATTCGAAATAATTGCCTGATCGAGAACAATCTGCTTCTATCTAAATCATTTGAACTTAAAGGAAACGAATTCTTTAAATTTTATCACAACCATAAGAAAAAAAAATCTTGGTACTGTGACCTTGGCCTCCCAAGGAAAGCTATATATAACTTTTAATAGGATAAGAAGTGGACACACGTCACTTAACTGTGATCTCTCTAGATTTAATATTGGTAATAATAATAGATGTGAGTGCAACAAAAGTGATGACAATATTGAACACATCTTCTGGCAATGCGAAATTTTTGAAGAACCAAGAATTGACGTGATGAAAGACTTAAGAAAATTTGTAAAATACGGACCTTTTTCCATTATTAACTTACTGTCAAACACAAATCAAAATATTCTTACAATTCTAGTGAACTACATGTACCATATCGAAAAAAATATCTAGTACATGAATCAATTACTTATATTCTATTAACTTTCTCAACTAAATATAGAAAAAAATAAAATAAAATAAGAGTGTAACATAACAAACGCATTTTTAATAATATTTATTGACTTTCATATCCATTGGAAGCGTATTTTAAGTTTGTAACGTATGCTGTATAATTCCTAATTATTTTTGTACGTACATGACTATGTAACTCAAAGTTGGTGCCAATACTTGACCAGCGAATTCTATTTTTCATAATTCAGTTAATCATCAGTTTCTTGTACTATAATAAAGCCATAGTTTTATATGACCTAACTTATCATTTCATGACCTGGTACGTACCTCCGTCATCCTCGAGCACCAGGGATTAGCTCACCCATGATAATCCCGAAATATTTACGTTGAACCTGTGCCATGTCAGGGTGCCTGTACATAGAAAACCTGCAATCTGGAGAATTCCAGCCAAAGCTCGTTGGCGATATAATTTAAAGTTAAAATCTGTGAAATAATTTATCCACCAACTTAAAGATCAACTGATAATCTAGTAGACATAATTTTTTTTTGTGAAAAAAAGTATTTCATTTCAAAACATGCCAGTTACATCGTCTAACCTCAAACACATCATAATATTTTTACTCAAGAAGAGAAAAAGTATTTGGAATGATAAAGAATTAATAGAGGGTAAATTAAAAAAGATCGTATGCAATTTATAGAGAGATGTTGCATAATAAAGAAATAAAAAGAAAATAAAGCGAGTTTGGGTTTCTGAAGTTTATAAAAAATTCAATAGAATAGCTCAAGGAGTTAGCAATAATCACATTGTCACTTTGAGACTGTATGATAGAAAAGGATATTATAATTTCTTTCGGATGACACCAGAAATGTTAGATGATATTTTGTCTTTAGTGGGACCAAAGATATCAAAAAAATTTTCAGTCCGGGCTCCAAAATCAGCCACAATTCGTCTGCAAATCCACTTCACGATATCTAGCAACTGGTGATTGCATCACTTCTCTAGCATTGTTGTTTAGAGTAAGTCCTTCCTCAGTATCAAAATTAAAATTCATTGAAAAAACTTGCAAAAAAATATGGGATTGCTTGACTCCTATTGTTTTCCCATCAAAATTTGTTAAAAATGTCTGGGGAAAAATTTCCACAGAGTTTGACTTTGAGTGGAACTTTCTACACTGTATAAGTTGCATAGACAGTAAATTGATAACTCTGGAGGAAATTATACTTTTATATTTGTATTT